GATTTAATTATTATCGTAGAAATCCCGGCTTGTGGCATCAAATGATATTGCGAATAAATTTGTTTGATTTGATTTGATTTGCGAGAGTTTTTTGTGATACAATCAAATTTGTTGGTGAAGGTTTTCTTCCTCTGAAGAAAGAGATTTGTTTTGGTTGACATTATAGGGTTAGTTGTATTTCTTTGATATGGGAGTTGATCGTTCTATTGGATCACGATCGGATGAATTTGACTTGGATTCGTCTCGATCGAGAATTTGTTCCAGGCGCTTGTTGATGTAGTTTATTGGATCGGATAGATGGCTGATTAATAGAAGAAGTGAAAAACACTGAACTAACAGAGACAATGATAATTTAACTTTTCAACTAAGATGTGGACTTACTTATATATCCATTTAAGATGCATTAAAGATCATAATGAATAAGTATTTTAATATTTGATAAAAATGTGATTTTCTTACGATAAAATGGGCTAATTTCATTTTGCAGTAAGTAGTATGAAATTTTTTGTACCATAAATCGTTGCCAAAATGATCAAATCACATGTTTTTACGAAACTTCTTCGTAGACACTGTCAGAATAATTTCGTAATTTTTAAATAAAAAAATGTTTCTCATAAATTTAATGTCACAATTTGTGCTATGGATTGATTTTCGGATTTCTGACAAATCTTCACAACCATGTGATGATTCTTTTTTGTTGGCATAATTGTTTTTTCGTCAATATATTGGCAAGTTTAATTTGCATTTGGAGAAAAGAATTAAATTGATAATTTACTAATAAAAAGCAAACATTATTGAAAAAGATAGTGTGCTCTTTTGGCTTTCATAAACTTTATTTCGAATCTAATTGGTGATGAATGAATCAAATATTTCGATTAGTCGAAATGATGAGTATTCATTAAGAAGCCAAATCATATTCCTGTCCGACTCGTCATTGACCTTTAACTTCTCAGTCAATTAGTCATAACTGAATTGTTAATTCAATGATATCATTCTGCAAAATTGTCACAAAAATAGCCGCAACTTTAGAATTATAAAAGTTACTTTTGCATCATTTTCATATTTCAAATGTTGTATATACGGGATTATTGGAGATGCTATTTTCAGTTTTCAGCATAGGCATAATTTCATTAATGCATATGTGTCAATCGGTTAGCAAAAGCGCTTGTAGTGAAAATATAAGTGGATTAATAATGAATTATGCTGTATGCTAAACTTCACTGTTCATTGTTCTAAAAAGAAATTTCAAACAGGTAGGAGCGATAGAGAGGAGATTCATTTAAATTAATATTTAAATAGGAATGAATAATTATGATTTGAAAGTAGTTCTTCTCATTTGGTATCATTCCACTGATTAATTTTCTGACGATAAATTTCTGCAATGAGTAAAGATTTTTGCAAATTACCACTAAATTTGGTTAGCTTTCTCTGTTTACTGATACAATCAGTAATAGTGCAACATCAGAAATTACTAATTTTCATCATATTACTCTTGCAATTGGTATGGACATTAAATCAACAACCAAAACTGGTAATTGCATTCTTTTATCATTTTTGCTTTAAAAAAATCAAAATTTGATCATTATTAATTATTTATAATTAGCTGGCTTATCAATATGATCATGAAATGGTTCAATTGATGATGAAATTGATAATTGAATATAATCGTTTTTATTCAGTTTTTTAGATAGGCTTACTAAATAAGTGCAAAAATTTGTTCAATCTTTTTAGTTTTTAATATCAAAACAGATAGATTTTTACATTAGCTCTATTACTTGTAAGCTAAAGCAAATTTTGCAATAAATGTCGTAACTTTTTTATGAATTCTTTTAAAGGGATAACTTTGTATGGTACAGTCGAATAGTTGTGAAGAGTTATTATTTGATAGAAAGTTTTATTCCTTCCTAATGTTATAGTCTAATTATCGGGAATTATCAAAAGTAGGAGTGATCATTTGATCGTTCTTCTTTACCGATCGATCCGGGAGAGTAATTTGGGTCTGTTCGTTGAGGTGTGGTTCAGAGGAGTGTGGATTGTAAGATTGCTTTGTTTCAGAGTATAAGTCACACTGAGATATGCCTCTTTCGGGTTGGGTGGTATTCGGTGAGTATTGTTTACAGCCATTTTGTATATAAAACTGATTATGCTTTTTATATTTTCTTGATTACGATTATGTAAATCAAGAAAATATAAAAAGCATACTTTATCAATTGACTGAGAATGTATATACGATTTCTACAACTATAAACAAAGGAATATAAAAAGATAATTATTTAAATATATTTATATTATAAGTTTTTTTCAGATTCTCGATAATTAGCAATAAATTTATCCCGAAATTTAAGACATATTTACTATTCACACAATTGATATTATTACTTTATTTTAGGAATGTTTTACGAATGGCTTACGACTTTATTTCGTACCGGAAGAACCATTTTCTGGACATGTTTATGTGGATGGATTCTATTTCGATGAAGATTGTCATGTAAATCAATCAAACGAAGCAATTGCTGTCCCATTTTATGTCAATATTTTTTATAATGGTCATTGCAATGTAAGATGTCAAGTACAGGTAACATTCATTTTAAGTGAAATTCTCAAAATATAGATGTGAAGAAAGTAATATGAGTTAAAAAATATATAAATGTTAAGAAGTAATATTAGTAATATGAGATACTTTTTAATATTTCAATTAAAAGGAGAAAAGTTAAATTATAAACCCTCAATAAGACAGATCAAAGTTTATCATCAAACAATGCAGTATATTACAGAGTGAACCGGCAGGTGTCAGCTACAGTGTAGTGATCACCGTTCAGCATCATTATCTATTTGTGACAGAAATGGACAGAACGTATAGTGCCACCTGCTTTTATCCGACAAACTTCGATACTCTAACAAATGAAGTGGACGTGAAGTGAGTAATGTAATTTTAAACCGGAATAAATATTAAATTCAGGAAAGGATTTGTAATTTCAAATAATTTATTTGTAAAATCTTTTAATGATAGTATTATCAGAATAGAATCAATAACATTGATCGATTTGAAGGATGAGAAAATGTAGCAATTTGATTAAAATAATGAAGGAAGAGAATTTTAAAATGAATCCGAAAGCATGACAATGATTTGAAATCATTTCTTTTACGATATGTTGTTATTCAATTTAATTTGTTTTGAATTAAAATGAAACTAAAGTCAGTTGCGTTAATTAAATTTTTATTTTTAATCAGTGATTTAACGGTAACAGACATTGGAAGAGAAGTTACTAGCAACTGTAGCTACATGATCCTGATGAATTCTACAGATGGTGAACCCGCAAGAGTTGTAGAAGTTGGCGATCGACTAGTCCATAAATGGAGCTGTGAATTAGGTGAAATGATGCATATCATATTTTTTTCCCCGGATACCAATTTTTTCTTTTTTAATTAGATTTATCAAATTTAATTTTGAGATCTATTTAAATTTGTTTTTGGTTGTTTAATCGAAAAAATTAATTGCTAGTTTCATTGCCATTTTCGGTGGAATTTAATTTATCATCATTTTGAAAGTTGATGAAAATTATAATTTCCAGAAGGTTATGGTATGCTTATTCATTCATGCGTTGTTAATGCACCTCGTGGTACCACTTTTCAAGTTGTTGATCGTCGAGGGTAAGATTGATGATATACTTCTAGCAATAGCTTGATTCGTATTTCCATTTAAAAATTTAATCAATATCTTTTAATTTTCTTTTTTTTCTTCTGTTCACTTGTAATAGAAGTTCCACTGTTATTGAGCTGCAGCATAAATGATAAATTGAATTGAATATTTTTAGATGTGTCACAGATCCTACATTAACAGGTCCGTTGATCTACAATGATAATCTCACTGAAGCACATTCTTTCATATCAGCATTCAAATTTGCCAATGAACTTACCATTACTTTTCAATGTAAAGTGACATTTTGTATTAAAGAAGGAAATGAATGCGAAGGCATTTCGGTATTTAATTTGTATTCTCAAAAAATTAATTTTAATTTTTCTTTTTTTGACATTGTTTTCATTGCTCTACGTAGACTATAAACTTTTTAAAAAGCAATTTTTTTTTTATGTTCAAAAAATAAATTTTTATCTAATTTCAGAAAAGAACGATAGCAGTAGAAAAAATATTTATTTCTATGAGTATTTGCTGATCATAAATGTAAAATAAGGCATTAATAAGGCATGTTGAAGTTATTTTTTACTTCTTTTTAGCCACCCAATTGCACTTATCAAATACCACCATCATCCACTCCACCAATAGATAGTGGTACTTCGGAAGAACAGGAGCAGTCTACTACAACAAGCATTACAACTCTGCTATCTTCATCAACCATAGCTCCGACCACTGAAGAATTGTTATGCGATAGTTTAAAACGAAGTAAACCAATCATGATTAAAAGTAGTAAAAAACAAATCTGCACCGAATTTGATTAAAATTTAGCTTTATTCGATAAAAATCTGATGCGTAGTTGATGAATGGAGCATGCTAATGTCAGAAATGCTCATTTATGATTAGTAGTAAGTGCTTGATATAGCTTTTTTTTTTGAAATTTATGAAATTATCTGAAGCGATTCATGCTGGATGAGCAGCATTTCGCAAAGTGCTGCGACATCATCTTCATTGTCGATATCGTCAAACATTGAGTAGCTGTAATGCGATAGTGTGAAAGCCGATCATGGCTACTATGTAAGCAAAAAATCCGCATCAAACATAGTAAATCTGATTGTAATTTTTCTTCATTATAGAACTCACAGAAAAAATTTTGACTTTTCACTTAGTTCACAGTAAGAAAAAGAAATACAGAAAGACTGTTATCTTTAGAAAAATAATTTTGAAAACGAAAAGTTATTAGCAAACTTTGTTCCTTTCAAGATTTTTGTCAGCTATCATTGTATTGCAGGTGGCATCAGAAAGTGCAAAAATTTCGTCGCTGTTGTCAATGAATCGACTACTTATGCAATGTCAGAGCAGATGAATTACAGAGAAAAACGTTTCCTGAATGAATCTGAACAGACGATGAATATTCCTTTTCAGGAATTTCCTACTAAGACAAATTTCACCAACATTAATCGTTTAACATTAGATGTTAATGCTGAGCAGGTTTTAAATTTTCATATTAAATTGAATTCATCATATTTGATTAGGTATTAATTGATATGAATGGCTAAAAATTAAATAAGAGATTGAGTTTTATAAATTTTTATTGTCTCAGAAGCTAGAAATAGAATGATAAGTATAAGAAGACAAAAAAAAAAATAGAATTGCTTTTGTAATTCAACTTCAACCTAACAGGTTAGTTAGAATCGTAAACTTTTAGAATGCTTAAGAATTAGCCGAGCATGATGAAACTATTCCTTTCAATAGAATTTGCATTAATTAACAAAAATTGTTTCTTTATAACAATAAAAGAAGAGTAATCATCACTTGAAATCATTAGAAATTTCGGGAAAATTAATAGGAAACTCCGATCGATCGGGCATAATTGATCATGTCCATCTTTCGCTATAACATTTGGTGGCAATGCACAATCGAAACCAA